CTCGGCTCATAAAATCAAGCGCTACCTGTACAGATTACTTTGTGTGATAAATAGCACAAGATTCTGAAGTATTTCAGGATCCGATTGGTTATTATATCTGCCTATGAAGAAATATTGTCATTTTCACTAGCTTACATGAGATTAAATTGTCTCCCTTTCGTATTGGCCATGGTAAAATGTATTAAAGGTTTCCTCGTGTCTATCCTGTCATCTCCCTCACCCTACCACATAACACTCACCACAAGCTGTAAGCTGCCACATTTATGCCCAGGGAAAACCAGGAGCTGTTTTTCCAAACTGGGGCAGAGATCACAAAGCCCTGAGGTGAGAGATAGAGAAAAAACAGAGAGGCATCTTTCAGAATTGGACATTGATGCAATATGAAGGAGCAGCGGGTCCTTCATTTTTTTTTTCCAAATAAAGGAAAACGGGAGTGAAATGAGGGAATCGCTAAGTGAGCAAGGTTCATTTTACCTTTGGGGTTGTCTCTGGTGTCAAACTCGAAGAGCTTAGTGGGGTTGTCGGGGAAAGAATACACATAGATTCGATTCCGCAGCACAATTATTATTCTGCAAAGGTAATACAGGGGTATGCAATTAGAATACAGGAAGCTCTTGATGCACAACTACAATTGGGACTGGAATCTTGGTCATTGAGCAAACCAATTGTGAAGCGAGATGTTACATGACTGCAATCAAGGCACTTCCTCGTGGTTATTAATCTCATGGGTGACTGAAAAGATGTAATCCCAGGTAAGGAGCACGGGGTACCTCAGAGGGGTGGGCGAGGCCATGGGATGCCCAACACAGGATATGTATGAGTCAGGGTGTAGGTAGGGGCTGAAGACTATTGTCTCTGCTCAGAGGTTGAAAATCCTGCTTGGATTTTGGTAGGGGTGGTTTTCAGCTGTGGAGCAGAGAGTCTTGTCCACAGCATACCAATGAGTTGTGCACAATCTGTGACAGGCCCTCCTAGGCATTCCCCACCCTCTTGAGACACCCCAGGCTCCTTGCCTTACCATGCTTCTTCTCCACTCTGCTTGAATCTTGGCAGGAAGGATTTTCAGCTCCAGAGCAGAGGCTTGTCTGCACCACCACTACCTCCAACCTGTGCAGAGCCTGTGCTAAGCCTTCCGGGGTCTCCCCTACTCACATGAGTCTCCTGTAGGCCTTACCTTACTACACTTCCCCTCCACTCTGCTTGGATTTTCAGTCCCTGAGCAGAGGGACAAGTCTCTGCGCTCCAGAGCTGAATTTATTCCCTGCCAAAATCCAAGTAGAGCGGAGACATAGTGCAATAAAATAAGGAGCATGGGGGGTAGAGGAAGCACAGGGTTAACAGAATTCAAGGTGCTGGGTATTGGATGTAATCTGTGGCTATGTAGAGATTCTAGGCTGATTCCTCTTTTGACTCTGCCCCAAGATCTGCTACTTCTTCTTCTACATCACCATTCTAGTATTATACAAATGTATTAAGGATATATTGCTGCAGAGGCAATTTTATTTATTTATTACATCTATATATGCCACCTATCTTGCCTAGAGGCAACTTTAAGCAGTTTTCAAAGGGTAAAAACAAGGCAAAATATTAAATTAGAATTGTATATCTTTACAAATTTATATTTGCTTCCAACTAATGGATCAATATGAGAATCTTTGATACAAGAATATAAATGGATACACATTCAAATGTTCTAATTACTTTTTTTCTGCTTCAATCAGTGATGCCAGTACAGACTTTATTGTAAACAAATTGCATGGATATAACTGGACTTTAATATTGTAACGAGTGGTATGTATTGTGGCCATCGAATTCAGATAAGCAGAAGGACATAGCATCCTACCCATGTTCTGAACCCAGTAAAAAGAGAATGAACTCCAAACATACTTGTCGTGTCTCATGCGGACAGCCAATGCTGGTTTGGTGAAGGTGAACTCCAAAACTAATTTGTCTTTGCCTTCTTTCCCTTCACGAGAATCATCCCAGATCAAGACTACAATGGAAGCATGAGGACACAGAAGACATAAATCAACAAGGACATAGAGAAACAGGGAGAAGATAGGTCCCTGTGAGGGGGATAATCAGAGATTATATTTGTTTGTCTCTGTATCACTGTTAGAGCTGAAATTTACAATTCATGATTCCTTTGCTCTGATTCCACTTCTTCCCTTGAGAATACCTACCTGAGATCTCCGAGAATTTAGGGTTGCCACCTCCTCCTACAATAGCAAGAAGATTAGATCGGTGTAGCATTTCAACCAGCCCTACGCTGCCCACCTGTTCGTGATCTGGTGAAAAAACAAACAAACAAGAGGTACTATTGTAGGACTCATTGCACAGGAGTAGAGATATTCCACAGCCCTGCATTTTTAGCCATCTTTGCTCCTTACCAAGGTGGCCCTTCTCCATAAGAGGTTCCACATTATAGATCCGAACACCTGTCTCCATAGCACAGCAGAAACAGCCTATTATGAGAGAGCATAGATCAACTGTGTGGTATATTGGGAACATCATAACTCACTGGAGTCAAAAGGAAGACCATAATCTACTAGTGATATTAGACTGCCAGCCCAAAAATCCCTGAAATAAAAAAAAAATACATTTCCTAGCAAAAAGAAAGTATATTTCCATGGAGTTATGGAGTTATGGAGTT